GCAGCAGCGGCTGCTCGCCCCTCAAAGCCCCCGCGAAGATGGAGATTCCGTGCTGCAGTTTATTTGCGCAGTTTAGCCTCTGTTAGTTGTCTTTCACGGGCTCTTTAGAAATAGTCACGGTGTTTGTGTGCCACAAACTGAAGAGGCAGAGTCAGCTTATAGCGAATACGTGTGGTATTTGTACGGGAAAACTTGGTGTACAGCTGAGGAAGCTGCGCTGCGTGGGACATGGAATAGCTTACAGTCTGATATTTGTTATGGAAAGGGGCAGATAAAAAAGGCGCTCTTTGACAGAGTAAAAGAAAATTCATAGTTCATTTTTCTCCAAACTTGTCCTTGTTTAGAAGTCTTCTGCTTTGGGAAGGCTTGCTCTCCTGAGGCTAACGTTCTTTTAGCGCATTGAATATCACTGACTTCCAGGTTTCGATGTGGTGGATGGGTTATTGTCCTGAGCAATCAAACCTAATGTGGACTCAAGAATAGTGATATGCAGTAATTGGAGCCTTATGTTGCCAAAAAGTTTTCCCCATATGTACGTTGTTACACTGAAAATCATCTGTCTCACTCATGTCACTACTGTGTGAGTGAACTTTTGTGTGTAATAAAAAGTGGAAATAATTTGTGGATTTAGAAGTTTCATTGCTAATGAACCTGGTTGAGGTTTTACAAAAGCATCAGAGCTATGCTTTTAAAAATAAATTCACTGGAGTGTGAAATACTTTAAAACTTGAATTCGTGTAGCTGGGCTGGGTGCTGGAAGAGCTACGGTAACTTGGGGGTAAGGAGAAAGTACGGGAGTCCCAGGAAAAAAGGTGGTTTGTCTGGCACGTGTCGAAGGCATGGAGTGGCGGCAGTTGCAGTTTTATGTGGAAAAAAGGTTGAAAGCCACTGTTAAAACAGCACCTGCAGGCAAGGGTGTATCTTGCAGTATGCACTGGGGATGAAACTCCAGCATGGCCTGCATCTTATTTATATTACTCTCGGAAGTTGGCTGCACTGCTGTTGCCGAGAAAGGAATGCGTAATCTCCTTTCCCTGCAGAGTAAGTGGAACACAATGTCAGAGCAAGCTTGAGCTTCTCTCTCATATTAGCTACATTACAAGCTGCCTTATGGCTTGAATAGTCCCATTGTAAATGCACTTTTTAAAGACTTATTTGCAGGGTGAGCAGCTCTTCATTCCCATGCGTGTATTGGGCATGTATACTTGCCCAGTGATGCCTTACATTATAATTAGAGTATGATCGATTTTGGCCTGAGAGTGGTGTGCCAAGTGTGAGCTGTCAGGGACATCTCTCTCTACTGCTAGTTTGGAAACATCTGTAAAGGAGAGGTATGGAAATACTGCCAGAACTGTAACAGAATAATAGAAATGTCATAATTAGGCAGGCAGAAAGAGTTTGAAAGATTTTTTCACCCAGATGCTAATTGACCCATGAAGCAAGTGAGCAAGGAGAATCATTGAATCACGGGACAATAGTAAAAGAGACTATAAAGAAAAGGAGCTGGAGATGATAAAAACAAAAGGAATAAGCACGTGGTTTTCACCGGACTTTCTGCTGTATCTCATTAGATGTCAAAGCTTCTCCTTGGAGTAGCACAACCATATATTAAACTCATTCCTATTTTTTTTTAATTTGTGTTTTTTAGAGGTCCAGCTGGCTGCTGGGCATTGCTGAAATTCTTCTTAATGGTTTAGCTCTCTGAGTAAGAATGGAATTCTCTGAAAGTTTGGTTTATTTTTTATTGGAAAGATGTGTATTTTTATGGGGGCAATGCTGTTTCTGTTAGGAGTCTGATTAAAGAAACCTTTGTTTATCCAGTGGCTTTACTCTTTCAGCTAAGGCCATAGTGTGTGCTGTAAACATACTCAGGATCCTGGATGAAGCAGGAAATAGCAATTAGCTTCTCTTCATGTTTCAAAGACTAAAAAAGAAATCAAGAATTTGTGGAGGGTAGAATGCAGAGAAAATATTTTCAAATATATTTTTCTAGATTTTACTTGTATCTCTTTCTGCCGTAGTACTTAACTGCCGCTATTGCTAAAAGAAGGTTCCATGTGGTAGCTGTGATGATGGTTGTTTTAGGAGGCAGCTGTCCTATGCATTTTTCGGAGTTCCTATTTTTCTATCCCTGCTTAACTATTACTACTACTCCATGCAATTAAAAGGAATTAATTTTATATATTGATGTGTTGTCAGAGATATTAGAAAGCATTTGCAACTCTTATGTCTCTCTTGAAATTGCCATTGTAGGAAGTTGTAATCCCCCTTTTTTGCTTTCCTGCATTGCCAAATGTTCTTTAAAAGCCTTTTTTAAAATACAAATTTATATTTGAGCAGTTAAAACCAGGATGAATAGTCCTTAAACTGTGATCAATAAAGGAGTGTGTGTTACTGTTAGTTCCAAGTGGTAGTGTTATTTTACTTAAATACTTTTATTTGTGTTCTTTTCTGAAATTAAGTCCTTTTTTTTAATTAGAGATGGAGGCCATAGTTCTCACAGTTCTCTCTTAATATCAGATTCAAAATAAAACCTGAAATATGCATAGTTTGGGATTTATTTCATTTAATGGCATACTTCATTTTCACAGGAGAGACAAGGCTTTTATACAAAGACTTACCCAGAGTGCAACCATATGAGTACTTATTTGACTTTTGCAACTTTTGTTATGCGTACAGTTAACAGGTAGAAATAGATTTCTCAGGGAAGAGCCTTGCAGCTACACAAGTTAATCTGTGTAGTCTCATTATATCTGTACATGATCACTTACCTTTTCTCACACTTACCTTTTTTCTTTCACTCTGTCTGTTCAGTGTAAAATATGTGTTTAATAATCTCCATTAGCCTGTCAGACATGCAAATACTTGGTTAAATTGCCCTTTTGATGGTCAATGGAATGGAAGAGAATCCAGCTGTAGAGGCAGAATACAGTTGAATGGCTGAAAGTAATTTTTTTTCCATTTTAGTTTATGTATCTCAATAGAGAAAATTTGGTCTTCACATTTACTTACTTTTCAACAGGCATTTCTTTTCACAAATATGCCTTCATATATATAGATGTAGCATATGCTTCTCTGTTTGTAAGTATGTGATTATTTATGTGTGTGTATGTTTTCCTTTTACTTGATTTTTAAGGCATGCGAGATCAAGAAACTATGTTTCAGAATCTGAGGTATGCAAACTGGAATCTGTACCCTTGGATTTTGGCGATTACCATCCGCTAAAGCCCATTACAGTGAGTTCCTTTTTGTGCTTTTTGGAAAATCAATGTGAATTAAAAGTGATTGTGTTCCTCTTCTTGCTTACACTCCTTTAAAACGAAAAAGCTCTGAAGTTGGTGATGGTACTAGTGAAGTTGCTTTCTGTGTTAGTGTCCTGTTATTTTAGAGGCATCAAGTTTTATTCTGGTGTTTGTCCTTTACAGAAATTTCCTGGTGCTGTTATGTGTCAAAAACAGTCTCCTTCTGACTACTATAGCATTTAAATTTGTGCGTTTTTTTGGTTGCATTAAATGCTGAATAATGGATAAGTTTGAAATCAAACTGTTGCATTACAAATAACCTGCATAATTGCTTGATGTAGGATTTGGTTTTGGGTTAACTTCCAGTCAGCTGTATGCCTTAAAACATTTATCGTTTCTTTAATGTATGAGAGGCTTTTAAAAATGTGGATGTACAAAAAAAGTCCAGCTTCAAAGAGATGGTCGTCATTCGCTAATGAATGATAAATGCACAGCAGCTTCTACTCAGGAAGGTCAATCAGGAGGTAAGATGAAAGCCTTAAGAAAGGATCTGATGTTTCAGGCTTGAGTATTGTACAAGAAAAATAAAGATAGGACTGGCAGAGGAAATCAAATAGCTAGAAGAAGGTTGGAGAAGAGAGAGAAAAACAATAGAATAGAGGAGGGGTATTAGACAGAAATTTAGAATGGTTGTGCTTATAGTTCTGTAGATGCAGAGTTGGAAGGAAAAAGAAAAAAGTAATGGAATTGCTAATGCAGAGTGCCTCCAGATTCAGGGGAAAAGGAGTGCTTCAGATTGAATGCTAATGCTGATTCTAAAGAGTTGCTTGTAGATGGGTCCTTGCTTTCATTACAACTGCACAATTTGTGTAGTATGTATTTTGATTATTTATTAAAGAAAACAGGTGGAAGAGAAAGTCCTTTTATATTTAATGGTTTTGAATTGTTCTTTCAGGTTACTGAATCAAAGACCAAGAAAATGAACCGGAAAGGAAGTACTTCTTCTACCTCCTCCTCATCTTCTAGTTCCATGATGGATCCATTGAGCAGTGTATTGGATGGTACCGATCCCTTGTCGTTATTTGCAGCAGCTGCAGATTCTGTGACGACTACTGCTACCTTGGTAACACTGGAGGGCAGTTATCTCAACTAAATAAAATAAACCAAAACCAAAACTACAAAGCCAGCCTTGGATAAAATATATTTGTCTCACCAATTTGAAGGTTAATGCAAATAGAAAATATACTGTATTAAATAGACTAAAGTGTTCTTTTTATTTACCTACTTTATGTTGACATTATTTAAATATGACATTTTTTAGAAGTATTTTAACTTTTTGGATCAGTAAGCATTTGAAACGTTAAGTTGACCTTTATCAGCATTCTCTTTTTTTTCCAGATTTGTATTTAACATTTGCACTCGTACTCTCCTCATAGGATAGTACACGGAAGAAACGGGATAAAGATGATGGCTCAGCAGTAGGAAGTGACTTTGAACCATGGTCAAGCAAACGTGGTGAAATCCTTGCTAGATACACAACAACAGAGAAGCTCTCTATTGTAAGTGGCAGCTTCTCCAGTTTTATTTGTTTCTACTAGACCTTTAATGGATTTTTGATGTTGCTGTTTTGTAATTATTTCATGAGTAAATGCTGGCCCTCTAAATTCCAGCTTTAATGTTGTAGCAAGCTGTACCACAAGCTCTTGCTTATGATGGTTTTGGATCCGAGTCCAAAAGTCTGTTGATGCTCGGAAGCCATCACTTTGTCTTTTTGTAACAACACAAAAAACTTCTGCTCTTAGGACTACTTCTAAATGATTAGAGGCTTAATTAGCAGTGTAATTACCCTGTGCATTCTTGGAACGCTAATGAGTACGTGTTTTCTAAAACTCTGCCTTTTCTGTTTCTTCACAGAATCTGTACATGGGATCTGAAAAAGGTAAGCAGTTCCTTTTATACCTAACATTAAACAGATTTTGCTTGAGGTAGGTGGCAGTGGCAGGTTTGAGGTCAAGAATAGTTAAAATATGATTTTTTTCTCTGCACTCCCATTCTGACATGGCTGGATCTATGGGGTTTTTTTGTGAGTAAGTCTTCTGCTGGATTTTTACTTAAAACAATTATTGAAAACAAACCACTCAACCGCCTTGTCTTGTATGCCTTGTAGGCTAATGAATTTGTGATGATGTGTTGTTGAAGGAAATGGAATTCATTGCGTTCTGCTGTAGGTTAAAACTTTCTTCCATATAAAATGAGCAATTATATTTTGAGGATCATGTTTATGAACCCTTCTGCTTGCTGGAAGGAAAGGCAAAGAAGTCCCTTTGGAACTTGTTCAGTTATTCTCTTTACATGAAAGTGAAATGATTTCAACTGTATGCTGAGTGTTCAAGAAAGAACAAATGTTAATATTTTATCATGTTTTCTAGCAAAGCAGATCTGGGTTAAGTAGTCATAGCTGATTGCATAGTAAATCAGAGTTTTTATATATGAGTAGACATGCAGCATTTCAGCTTCTGAAAAAAAAAATACTTTTTTGGAATGAGAATGGTCAAACACTGGAACAGGATGTCCAGAGAGGTTATGAAATCTTTTTCCTTAGTTATCCTTAAATTGATTAGTTATAACCCTGTGCAATCTGCTAAAACTTCAAAATTGGGCCTGCTTTCAGGAGGGACACAGACCTCCATAGGGCTTTTTTAACCCAAATTATCCTGTGGTTCTGTTCAGTGGTTCTTTCTTTACCAGCAAAACTTGCAAGTTTTGCTTACTTGTTACTCCCTGTTCAAACTGAATGAACTGTAGGTACATTTAAATGTGTGTCTTCAGGAATAGGCACCAAATGAATCAAACCACTTGTCTTTCGTGGAAGCTGACTACTTGTCTCTCAGGGTCATTCAAGTTAGTTTGTTTTCGGAAGTCTAAGTGTTTAAATGTTACAGAAACTCAAACAAGTAATTCCTTACAGGAAAAGCTACAACTACTGGCTCAGCAGTTTCTGAAAAAGTGAGGACAAGGTTGGAAGAACTGGATGATCTGGAAGAGGTGAGAAAGTTTTCTGGTCCAATTACATCACAATTGTAAAAGTGAAATGAATTTGTGAAATAAAAATCTCTTGTGAAACCTTTTGGGAAGGTCCTGATTCTGCATGTGCTTATACAGTATTTAGACAAATACATACTTTTCGTGGAACTTCTCTAGTAATTTCAGTCCTTACTGTTACAGAATTCAGGCAGAATCATTTTTTTGTATCACTAGAAATTGTGATTGAAAAATCCACTTGATCTACCAAGGTTGATTTATCTTGATACTGTGTACGGTCTGCAGCTGCTATAAAACTTCATGGAGCATTATAGTCTTTACGTCTGATAATTTTGTTTTCTCCTCTTGCGGCAGCTGCCTACTGTGCACCTGAGCTTAATTAAAATTACATTTATGTGCTCGATAGAAATACCGAGTAGCCAGGTTATTTCTCAAGCTGCAGTATTTTACTGTGCTAAGATGAGGTGTTCTGTACCTTACATTTCTAAAACCTACATCTGTGGGATACTTCTAGAATTGTTTTGGGTAACGTTATCTTGAAACCACTGCCTCTTAACTAACTTCAGATTGCCGTGCCAGCACTGTTCAAATAGCTGCATATCACAGATAAGGATTCTTTTAGTACAAAAAAATGAAGTACCCTTTGCCATAAGGCAATATGTAACCTTGTATGAAAATAATTGTTTGCGTTTTATCTCTTAATTTCTGATTGTTTTTCCTGATGGTAGTTTCTAGACTCTCATTATGAAATCTCTTTGGTAATGCAGCTTAATAAACTCATCAAAACTAGTCCTGGAGGTAGTTTTTAATGTCACTCGTACATCTTCTGAAGGCTAATTAAGTAGACTTGTGTTTTCTTGCTAGGGGTCACAGAAAGAGCTATTGAATTTGACTCAGCAGGATTACATGAACCGAATTGAAGAGCTGAACCAGTCTTTAAAGGATGCTTGGTCCTCTGATCAGAAAGTAAAAGCTCTGAAAATAGTCATCCAGGTCGGTTTTATGTTTTCATTCTGTACAGAATCTGTGAGTTTGGTGTGGCTTGTCTTATTTTTTTCTTGGAGAAAGAAGAGTTTCTGCTTTTCTGGTTTTTTTCTGTTCTTCACTGAAATCCATTTCTTTCAGAGTTTTATGATTTCTGACAACAGTTCGATTTTCAACTTTGTTGTTGTGTATTGGTTTTGGCTAGAGTATCTGGGATGGAATTTTCATTAAAGAGTGGCCAAATGACATGTATGAAAATTTTACCTGGTTAGTGATAATTACAAAAAATAACATGTAGTGATATCAACTCTTTCTAGGTCATATAATTTCCTTTACTCTCCTCTTCCCCTTCTAGCCCCTTGCTCCCCACTCCAAATAATACCAGAATGGGTTTTTGAACATCAGTGTTTTGCCTGTCCTGACTTACTATGGCAAATAATCTGATTTAGGACCCTAGCAAGCTACAGAAAACAGCTCCAGATTTTTTAAGTGTGTGTATGGCTTTGGTGTTTTTCTTTTGGTTTGTTTTTATTTTTTTTATTTGAATTCATGTTTTGTTTGGGTTTTTTTGTGGGTTTTGGGTTGTTTTGGGCTTCAGTGTTTTGGTTTTGTGGTTTGTTTTTTTTTGTTTTTGTTTTTTTTTTAAACTTCTCTGCAGTCTTCCTCTGGTCCATTTGTAGTGATGGGCTTTAATGGGGTTAGGGGGAAACAGAACAATTAAATGCGCTTTTGCTTGACTTGGCCTTCAAAAAAGTCATCAAGTGGGGTTATATAAAGTCAGGATTATTTTTTTTTGGTCATACTGGATACTCTTGAGAACACTGCAGTAATTTCAGCTTAAATTGTGGTAAAGACAATAAAGGAAATGAAACATAAATTAAGTGAGATCAGAAAATTTTATGTGACCTAGGGTGACTAATGTTCTATTGTAATACTATGAAATCAACACTAATACTCTCCAAAAAATAAAGTTCATATATAGCATTGTGAAGTGTAAATATTTTAGTGAAAAGAGAATACAATATTAAGAGTTTGGATGAGAAGAAAAGGGACACGGACACACTGTATTTACAGTGTATTAATACGTATATATACAGTCTCTGACATGCCGTGATAATCTACGATTAATACTTTCATATGTTCTTTTACAAATAGTTTCACACACAATTTTGAAATAATGTAGTTTCTAAGATAGAATTTAGTGCTTCCTTTTAGGAAAGTGGTATCAAAATTGCATGTGTTTATCTCTTATTGTTGTCCATGTGTTGTTCACTTTGCACTTGAACCTCATGCTGCAGATGCTTGTCATTAACTGAAAGACTGGGTAAGAATGAACTGGGTATATGTGCAATTAACATGAGTTAAAATTCATAAAGGAGACTAACCAATTAGAATTCTATACTTATAAAGCAGGATAGGGTAGAAACCTGACTGAACTTTCCTTCTTGTGGTTCTTCCCAGAAAATACCATAATTTTAAGAACGTCGTATCCTCTGAAAGAACAAAGCCGTTTTGTAGACATCAGACTGTGACTATATACATAGTCTATCATTATCATCACATACTGATAATTATGTGATAGGAGGAGTGAGTTTGGCCTTTTTTTTGGTTGTTATTTTCAGAAATGCGTACGAGGCTGGAAAAAGCAATTTGAATGCTAGAATTAATTAAAGAACTAATGATGAAATTGCGGAAGATAATTCATTTGGACATTAGGGATGAAGCTGCCATTCTCTGTGCAAGAGTTTCACAGAGCTTGAAGTGCAGGAAGAATTCTGTTTATTAAGGCAGGGTCTGAATTTATAGTATGTGAATTCCTCAAGTGCCTTTTTATGAGATACTTTACTTGTCAAGATGGAATAAGCTAAGCTCCTTAGAGTAAGCTGAAGTAAGCTGATTATGTATTTGAGCCCTAAGAAAAAAAAGGTAAGTAAGCGTGTAGGTCCTAAACAGCTACTGAATTACTTTTCTTTGAAGGTTGCTGACTTACCACGCAGTAGGGAGGATTCTGCTTTGGTTGTAAGATGTGAGTGCTGTTGCCTGTCTTTTGGGTGCACTCTTAAGAATAAAACAAAAAGACTGAGTGTGCCCCTTATTTAAGCATGTTCAAATGTTACAATTTTCCAGTTTAGACTAAGCAGTTTTGTACAGTGTCGTATTGCTTCCTGGATTTTTAGGTTGTAATGAAAACTTGAAACTTTATTTATTCCACTGAGATTGAAGAGCTGTCTCCTGATGAAGAGAAAGAAGGGACAGACATCACAGAGAATACTGTACCTGTCAGTCTTAAATAGAGACCAGAGAAGACTCATGGTCAAAGGCCACATTTGGCTCAAGTAGGGCAGAGGTGGATTTCTCTCCTCAGTCAGTAATTGGCCCATTTTCTTCAAGTGGACGTTGATTTTTTTTTTTGTGAATAAACTTCTGCCAAATATTTTACTCCAGTCTAGTCTGCAGGTTTTGCACCATCTTGGAAAACAAAGTATAGCTTTAATTAATTAATTAAATTAAATATCTTTAAAATAACTTAATTGCTCACTGTGTATTTTGAATTCATATCATAAACAGGCATGTTCCTACCTGGACTTAACATTTAATGATACTAGAACCAAGTTAGCTAATATGTTTTCAAACGTGGCTTTGCACCAGCCATCATTTCAGCCCAGCTATTGTGATCACACTGGGTGCCTGTGGGTGGCGATTGATTACAGATTCCTCCCTGGATCTGACTGTGGATGGGCTGGCCTGTTTCCAAAATGTTTGAACTGGTTACGTGAGCTACAAAAATGTGTTGAAAAGCTCATTAGCTAAACTTTTAAAATTATTTCTTAATTTAGTTTCTGTCAAATTTTGTGTTTGATATGGATGCTTAGAGAGATTGAGAAACTGAGAACTGCCCTTAAAAAAGTTTAGAGAAGTGCCTTTTTATGCTTCCTTTGGGAGAGAATTTGTCCTGTCTGAACAAATGCTCAGATCTGCATGGTCAGCTGAAATCCTGCATTGTAGATTACTTTGCATAAAGGGAAAACAGATCTGTGACTGGCTCTGCTGGAACTGAAGAATAACCTGAAAAATGCGGAGTGCCATGATGTGTTATGTTAGAGGTTCTTGTGCTTTTTGCTGGATAGCTCATGTTGGTTCCTTCCATCTGTAGACACTGATCTGTTTCAGCCTTGCATTGTCCTCTAAAAATGTTTTTCTGTTGTTTTTTTTTCTTCTAGTGTTCTAAGCTTCTTTCAGACACAACAGTAATCCAGTTTTATCCAAGTAAATTTGTTTTAATTACAGATATCCTTGATACTTTTGGTAAGTATCTAATGTGCCAGACTTAGTACACAATTGTTGATAAGATGAAATTTGGTTTTTGTAATGTTAGAAAACATAAGAGTTATCAAAAAAGTGCAGAAATTACTCTAATTTTTAACATGGAATATTTCCAACATAAACATTTGGATTTCAGTGGTATAAATGTGGCATGTAATTGTTCAAAAACTCTTATGAGTGAAGTCTTTAAAATAAAAAATATTTCATTTTGTAGTTCTATGCTTTATGTGTGGTGAATATCTAGAACATGGCCTTGGGAAAAATCATCATCTCTGCATTTTTAAATTCAAAACACACTGTTATTGTGAAAATATTTTGTTTTTCGCAGCTTCTTGACTCAATATTTCATTAATATTTAAAGAATAGAATTAAAAGTTTTCTTCAGCTGAATAGGGACTATGAAGTGATCAAAATGTAGTTTCTGAATTTTTTAGTCTACTTTTATAATTTTAAAATGATCTTTTAAGTGAAATTGTCATCCGCTTCATGTGATTCTCTTGGTTTTCTGCCATGTTGTGGAAAAGATTTGTGACTGCCTTCAAAGTGGAAGGACATTTTGATGTTTAGCAGGATATGGTATGACATAGCTCCAGTTGTTTTTTTCCAAGTCTTGCTTCCTCTTTGTGGTCTTTCCTACTTGCTGCAAGTTGCTGAAGATAATGTAATAGCCAAACTCGGTGAAGGCAGGACACCAGCTGTCCTTTCCTGGCCTGGGAGAAATCTGACCCGGGTGCTACCTCTGCACCAAAGGGAGCCAGATAAATTTTTTATAGTGTGCACAGTGCTAAATTCAGACTTAACGTTTCAGCCTCACTGGAGGGCAGCATAACATTAATGTTCTAGGAAGCTTCTGCCACCTAATTTCAGTGTATGTTGGAGAGGGAACCATTGTATCCCCATTTTGTGTTGTACTGTTCATTAGTTTGTAGACAATGATTTTTTTTTCTATTTAAACAGGGAAACTGGTGTATGAAAGAATTCTGTCAATGTGTGTGGACAGCCGTGTCTCTCTGCCAGGTGACTTTGTGTTTGTTTCTACTGTGCTCCTAGAAAAAATCATGTCTGAATCAACTTGAGAAAGGCTAAACAGAACCTATGCTACTGTATCGCCTGTAAAAAAAAGTTCTGGTTCACAGTGTTTATGGAAGTTTACATTTTAACTGTGAACAATGTACATAAGGTGTAACAAAATGTGCTTGTGGTTTTGGTGTTGCTAAACATAAACTGATTCTTCCTGAGCCTGCTTTTCTCCAGGCTAAACAACCCCAGTTCCCTCAGCGCCTCCTCACAAGACTTGTGCTCCAGACCCTTCATCAGCTTTGTTGTCTGTCTTTGGACACACTTTCTTTCTGACTTGGGCCCTTCCTATTTTTTCAGTTGAAGTTCCAATACAATGTAAAATTCCAATTTGACATTTACTGTACAAACATATATGGAAGGATGTCTTTAGGTCCCATGGAAACATGGAACACACCATGGAAAGACGTTTTCTTGCAATTTGGACTGTATTAAATGCATGTCCTTGAAACATTTTTACTCTGTAGTTGGCAGTGCAGCAGTACCATTGGGTTGCAGTTAAATCCATAGGATTTGAGCCAGAAGCTTGAAACCAGCAAATGTTTAAATTTAAAATAAATGTACAGAAAATATTTAAGATAAATTTGATTGTTGCAGATCTGACAACTTTTATTACAGACATTAATGAAGGCAGACAGTTCTTGCAGCATGTCATGATATCTGGGCACAGTTAGCTCCATTCTGGAGAGCTGAGCTCATGCTGCCGCTATCCAGCTGCCAGGGGCATTGCTGGTGGGAGCTTCCCAAGCAGCTATAAAAGTGGGAGGAAGAAGGAAAATCTGTGGTGTGCTTACTGTGCATGGCAGAGTGAACCCCTGGGGATTTCAGGCCCAGCCTCCATGCTCATCCTGTGGGAACCAAGTGAGACATAGTTGGATGAGAACACCCATGGTCCTAGATGAGAAAGAAGATCTTCCTGTACTCAGTCAGCATCAAGTGTGTCCCTTCTCTAGTCCTGGAAGTTGGAAACTTTCTTGTGGAGTAGGAGCTTCTCATTTTCTAGGGGCAGGGATGGGAGAGAGCACTGGTATTTTAAAACTGTTTCACAAGGAGTTCATAAGCAGACATTCACAGAGGGGCTCATCCTTGCCAAACATCTTGCCTCAGACCTGGGTAGGTCCCCAGAAGCCTGTTTTTGCCTTCTGTCCAGACAGTCTAGTGAAAGAGAAGGCATTTATCCGTGCAGCTGCATGCCTGCCTGACAGGAGCACTGACCCCATAACCTGGGGTGGCAGCTTTTTCTCTTGGCACCTGATGCAAATGGTCACACAGCTCATGAGGAGAGAACTGCGCTGCAGTGTTAGATGTTTAGCATACAAAAATAAGTGTTCTATCAGTATTTCCTACTTCTTGCAGTATAGTTTTTAATAATATTCTTTAAAAATTATATTAGCCTTTTAAAGAAAAGAATTTGCTTAGATCTCTTTTATATGTATGCATTTGCTACAGATTTATATACATGTATTTGTTACCGATTCCCTATATATATTCTATATATATTCTATATATATTACATTTCTGCTTCTAGGGGGGAGGCAGGGGTTAGATTTCCAAGTAGCAGATCTGAGATTAGCTTTGGGTGCTTGACTTCGGTTTCTGAAATGTTACTTAATGCAAGATGGAAGTTCTAGTTACCTCTTCTTGCTGTCTTTGTACTCAGCTCTTAATGCTGCATGAGAGAGCTGAGCAGCAACTGTATTGCCTAGTATATTACAGTGCACCTAATTTCTTGTTGAAAGGAAAGAGAATACAATTTTAAACCTAGAATGAAAAGTAACTTGTTTCCAAAAAGAATGTAACTATTTCTGGATTGTTGTATTTTTCCCCCCAGATAATTTTCCTCCAGAGAGTGTTAATGATACGGCTAAAGAAACTTGCTTAAACTGGTTTTTCAAGATTGCTTCAATCAGAGAACTCATTCCCAGATTGTATCCTTATCAAATGAGACTCTTAGTGTGTCTGCAGGTTTTTCTAGACTTTTCCACAAATGAACATGTTTGTTTCAATAAAAAACACAGCAGTCTGATGTTTATACTGACTTTGTTCTGTTTGTTTCAGGCCGTATGTGTTGAATTTAATTTTGAATCATGTTTCATAGTAAACTGAATGCTGAATTATTGTCAGTGAGCAGCATGGCAGTGATAAAAGTAGAGTTGATGTGTGAAAACTTTTGAAATGGTAAAAATCTTGTAGATAAATCATAAAAATCAACGAAGTGTAGTGAGACTAATGTGTGTATTCAGTATATGTTTGTTGTCGTGCTTTAAAATTATATGCATCTTAGTTTTGTTCTTTAACTTGCCTTCGTTTTAGTTATGTGGAAGCAGCAATATTGAAGTGCAATAAGTTCCTATCCAAAACGTAAGAGTAAATTTTAAGTATGGGGAGGAAGTGAATGGGCAGGCTTATAAACTAATTTAAAGAGTTAAGCATGCAAGTTCTGTGATTAGTGATGGACAGAGTCTTCAGAGATCTGGGAAGAAGCAGTACTGAGATGTTTTGGAATTTTTAGTGAGAATGCCGTGAAAAAATTAATGATGAACTATGATATGGCTTGAAATGCAATATTGCTTGCAGTTTTGGAATATATGTATAATTGTGATATCAGGAGTTTGCAAATTAAAAAACAGTGACTTGAGATAGCAGAGGGGAGAGCAAGATTGCTGAGATGAGAAGCATGGTAAGAAGACAGGATACAAAATTGAAAGGAAAATACTGATGTGTTGTATTGCTAGGGACAGAGTTGGAGAACCAGTGAACCATTATCTTGAAAATCTTGGTATAAGCTTCGTATGTTGCCAGACAGCGTCAGTTGCTGAGCTGAAAATGTTCCTTCACGTGTAATTGTCCTTTCTCAGTTGTATTTTGAAATCAGCATTGTAAGCCAAATTGCTACTATAGTGACAACTTCATTATCCCTAAAAAGCCGTTCTTTTACTGGAACTGATGTGCCTCATCTCCAGGCAGCAGTACAGTTCTGTTCAAAGGGACCTGTGGGAAAATGAGACATACGAGGAGTTCTGCCAGTTCTGCTTTAAGCGGCTGCTCTCTTCACATTGAATTACAGCCCTTCTAGAGCTCTGCCATTCCTCCAACTACAGAAGGAGCTTTTTATTTGTGCTTGTCTTTTACAAGGCAAGCATCCAACCTGCGCTACTCCTAATGACAAATACTGCAATTTGAATATAGGATATGTGTTACTATACACATAAAATTTTACTTCTGAAATAAGTACTAATATGCTGCTTCCTTGGCAGGTATTTCTATAACTTGTGCTCAATTGTCAGTCAGTAAGGCAGCTACTGAAAGTATCTGTAGGTGATATAATTCTGTTACTGATTGTTAAATTTCATTTTCATTTCTAAAATCGTAACAGGGGAATTTCAGAATGTCTCCCACGGTTAACGTCTATGATTAGAGGAATTGGAGATCCACTGGTCGCAGTCTATGCAAGAGCATACCTTTGCAGGGTAGGCTGTCATTTAACGCTTCAGATCTGTATAAAAGATTTACTGTGGATACAGTAAAGTACCTGCCACTAAAGGAAAATTTATTTTAACTACTCTTTTTTATTTGAAGTAGTCAGCAGCCTGTCTCTTCCTTCTAACAAACCAAAAAATAAAATTTCTCCTTTGCTTTAATAATGGGGAATCTTCCTTTAAGTGCTTATAATAAGAAAAATTAATTTTGTGCTGCATATACCAGTTTTTCATCTTCAGGTAGGGCAAAATATCAAGGACCTATGTGGAATGAGAGTTTGGACTTTGAGGCTACATGCTGTTGTCTGATTGCTAGGCACTGCTTTTCATAGTTAATCTATGAACTTTTCCTATGTTTATCTTCCTCCTACTGCTGGAGTGTATGTGGCAAGCTCCTTGCCAGAGGAGCTGCTTTATCAAGTATTCAGACAGTGGATTTTTGTCTGACTGTGCCTAGTGTGGCTGTGTTCTTATCCTCGACTACTCCTGCAGTTACCGATAGTGGAAAAATACTTGTGAAAGACATTTTTCTCAAAGTAGTGGCAAAGATTTTGACTGTAATTGGAAAATGGTAGGGCTCCTAATTAGCAATACTTGCATGAAATCAGCTGCCATTATGAAATGCAACAAGTTAGTTCAATGTTGATATATCTGTTATGTTTGAATAAACTGTCCAGTATGTTTTTGGTATATTATTCAAGGGTGTCCATATTAATTCCTGTATATGCAAGTAATTGCTAACCTCTGGTTTACTCTGATAGATGAGCTGCTTAGATTATTTGAATCTTGAAATAAAATAATGCCTGTATTTTTGTCACACCATAATCGTTTCTGCTACATAGTGCAACGTTTATGAAGGTTTTTTAGGAAACAGTTTGTATGCACAGTCCACCTTCTAGTGCTTCTGATACAGCTAAAAGAGATCCATAATGGTAGAGCAGTTAGGACTAATGATCTACTAATAGTAGTTGCAATTATGTGGTAAGGAATAGCTTAGCATGCTCCTTTTTGTCCACAAAGATGATAATACAAAATAAATAGTGAAAATTTTATTGGAATGAAATACTAGTGGTTAAAAAACACTTGTTTAAAATAAGAAAACATACTGGAATGGAAGACATTTGATCTTCTGTATTCCAGCTATTGACACCGTATTAATACTTTCACAATGAAGATAGTGAAAATATATTTTAAAAAAATATACGTTCTAGAATAGAAAACCCATGGTATCAATACAAGTTATATCTAAAGCTGCAGTGTAGTAAAATATGGGAATAAACACTTGCTTGAAGCCAAAGAACCAGATCTTCACACAGCAAGGTGATGCATTTCTCTTTAGCTCTGTGGTTTGAAAGGAAATTATATAAGAATGATATAATAAGAAAAGTGAAGATGACTGGCTTGGGTCTGTGCAAGGTCCTTCTGCTTTGTGATGAAGTCAGCTAGAAATGCATGTGTTCAGGGATCCCAAAAACTCTACCCCTGGGTTTGTTTGAAGAGGAGAACCGTAAGCTATTGAGATTGTTTGTTTGCCTGTGTGTTTTTAAGCCTGATCTGTTACTAACTTCTCATTCACTTCTGCATATTTGTCTTTTACTTAGTAGTATGCCACATTTTAATTTTTTTGTATCTTTGTGTTGTTGAAAACAGTCCTGTGTGGATGAGTTTCCTTTGCAGTTCCAGCTTAACTACACAGGCCTTGTGTTTGTTCATCACCTTGTACTATTTATCAGTATTTTTTCTATACCTGTGTATTAATATTTTCCTTTGGGATCCTTGCTTCATTCTGTTCATGGAATAAAAACACATGCTTTTAAGCAATTTCTGAACTCTGACTGACTTTTAAAAAATGTTCTTCACTGTAGGCTCTCTGCATACAATGAATATAGTATGTTGCAGTGCAGGCGCTGGGCTAGACTTTGATCTCATCATTGCTTGGAGCTGATGTTAGAAGAACCATGTTTAAACACAGCTGTAACTACCTCAGGGTAGTTGTTAGTGGACATAACTATAATAGTAAGCAAGGAAATAAGCTGTCAAAATCATGTGATTCAATGCTGTTTGTTGATTTGATGAGTGTGATGTCTGCACCTCTGGAAAATGCATTTTTGTGTAGTTGAAGTAGAATCATAGATTATAGATGGAGAAAAAAAAATCTTTCTCTTTCTTTTAATACAGGTTGGGATGGAAGTGGCACCACAACTCAAAGAAAGCCTTAACAAAAATTTCTTTGACTTTCTCCTAACATTTAAACAAGTAAGCAAATAGGGTTTTTATTTTGCAAAATTGTACAAATACAGTCCTTAACCAAACTATCACATGCTTTTTAAAAAACCTTTGAAGTTCTTAAATATTACATACATGCTGATTAGTTGAAACGGCATTGTACAGCATGTTTCCATACTTTAATAACATATGCTATGAGCTTGATAATTTTTCCCCCAACATGCAGGGAATGCTTCAGAATATCCGTGTATCTTTGTGATCTTGTCTGTTGTTGTTTCCATTCATACACAAACTTTGTCCAGTTTATCATAGCCCCTACAAAATACCTTTTCACAGCAATAAGTTTTTGTCTTTTGTTTCAACAGATTCATGAGGATACGGTTCAGAATCAGCTGGTAGTACAGTGTGTGGAGATTCCTTTGTATTTGACTCTATATTCTCCTTCTATAGACTGGATTTTACAGTGTATTGCATACCGTGCTCCTGAAGTAAGTAAGCGTGGCAATGCTTGATACTAAAGGAAGTGTTGGGGTGAAGAGTTAATTTTACCTATTAAAACCCCCCCTCAGTCAGTGCTTACAAAAGCAGTATAAAGAGCCCAGATATCACTGTCTGTTTCTTCTGTACCGGAAGAATTTGGGGGATTGGACTAAATGATCTTTTGAGGTCCCTTCCGATCCCTAACATTCTGTGATTCTGTGTGAATGTTTATTTCCACAAAGCTGAAGTTAGACCACTTTAAATTCATAGACAGTATTCCTGTTTGTTTCTTGCTGTCCCTTAGCTGGTCTAATCTTTATTTCGTGAATTCATTAGTTTTTTCTGTCATACAGATATAAAAATTATTTGAGTAAACTGTAGTTTTGTAATTGCTTAACATAGTCAAGAAGCTATTTTAATCTTAGTTCATTTCGCATTCTGTGGCAGAGGGTTGGTAATCTTCACCTCTCCTGCCAGAGATAATTGATCTGGCTGGCAAATAGTAATTACGTGGAGAAGGCTTGCAAGTTTGACTTCCATAAAATGATGTTTTTGATTGAAATGCCACTGTACCTATTCCAGAAGGGGTGTTTTATGCTGTACTATACCATTGTTTTCTTGTACAGGATAAGACAGGATTATTGAAATGTATTGGGTAGGTAGTTAAAACAGCTTTTAGTAGACTTCACTACAGTAATTAAAGCTGAATTTATTTGCAGAGTTTCTACTTGCTAATTTTTATAAGTAATTCTTCCAGGTTCTGCTTACTGAGATGATGGAGAGATGCAAAAAACTGGGGAACAAGTAAGTATTTCACAATGTAGAAGATGCAAATCTGTAGTGAGTACCCATGAGCCCCTGTAATAAAATTCTCTCTTCCTTTTGCAAACACTTCTTGGATGCATAGTATAGCTTTTGTTCTCCCAGTAGCTTACTAAATCATTATTATGAACATCTGTTTTCCAGAGATGAATTCTAAAATATGGTAACTTTTGCTCTACAAGTAATCTACTTTAGCTTGGTTGATGCATTTTGGCTCCCAAGCCAAAGTTTAGGACACATGTGTTCTCCATCAGCCATGTCTCTGATTTCTGGTTGTGCTTCATTTTTCTCTGTTTTCCTCCCCTTCCTTCCCTGTAGCCTCCACTGGCTACTGTCAGCCCATTCATGCATTTTGCAAGGAAAGTTGTAAAGCAGCTGATGCCTTTGGAAGATGGTAATATTTAGGTGACTGTGTTTTTTGTCATTAAAATTAATATCCCAAATATCTCCTGGAAGTCTGTGTGCAGACTAATCACCTTCAGTGAGTAGTTCAGAAAGATGGTCTGGAAGTTTTGGATGTATTTTCTGAGCTGTGTGAATGCAATTTGGCCTGCTGATCAGCTAATGTCACTTCATCTTATTGGTTAGGTAGGCTGAGTTCTGTGAAACTTTTCAGCTGCCTGGTTTTTTTTCTCATGTGCCTTTGCACAGTTCAGTTCTGCAGTGGCTGGGGGGCTAAATTTTGTTATTTACTTAGAGGAATGCCAGCATAAGCATTCTGTGACTGAGCTAAGGAGCACAGGGAAAGTGTGATTTTTAAAACGGGATGTGAAGATGCTGTTGTATCGGAATGCATAATATGGGTAAAAATAATCTGCATACTCTGCTGTATTAATTATTTTGTATAGGTGTTGATCTGTTTTGTGGAACTTTAAATCATCTTTTAGCATTTCTCATTATAAAGATGGGCTGGGTGCCTCCTCTTTGTGCCAGTTTGCTCTTTGAAGAAAGGACAAAATGTTGAATATAATGAGGGGTTTTTTTAAAAGAAATGTTTTTGATATATGTTTTTTTCATTAAGAAGTTGAATAATCTGGTTTAGATGATCTGTAAAGCACAGTAGTTTTCTTTTGAAGTCGAGTTCTGTGTTTTTATGTCTTCTCATGGCTGTCAAAATACTACAAAGCAAGAGGTATCAGTATATAAATATTTAAGTAACCTCAGTTCCACGAACTATGTTGCAACCACCTAAGTGAAAAGTGACAGCCTGCTTCTCTGCATTGCAAAGCATATACCTAGTGAACTGGAAATACTTTATCTAATGATGAAATGCAAATTTCAGTCAGATTGCGATGGGACCACTAATGTTCAGTCAGAAACATGGAGGATGCTGGGCTATTTTAAGTGCTCTGTAGAATTTCCCTCAAGGTAAAGTGCCCTGAATTCAAACTGTCTGTTTCAGAGTAGTGAAGGACACGCTGTTTTATGAGGCAGCTTCTGTGCTAACTCATGGCTGAGTTTGCCCAAAGGAATTGCCTTTTGAGTGGTACTAGATTTTGTAATGTTTGCATAATGGTATACTGGGTTTTACAGTAATGCAGTGAGTTCACTCTTCCGTGTGTTACTTTGTTACTAATACAGATACAGGTCTGCATGATTAATCATTAATATCTAATCATATGATAGCTGGAAATTACATATTAATGACTGGTCAGATATGTTTTAATCCTAACAATGCAGCTGCAAGAAATCTGACTTTTATACTGCATATATATTTCAGTTCAGTGAGAAAAACTTTATCAATAGAGATTTGCTCTGCCAAGTTATACTTCTGAACTGCAGTTAAAAAGAGAGAGGAAGTTTCTAAACATGTCAGCTACTCCTGGTTTACTTGATCTTTCTAGTAGACTTCTGGTGAAAACATGTCTGAAAAAAAACCTGTGTGGAAGAAGTATTCTACAAGCTAGGTTACCTTTTCCTTATCTGATGGCTTAATGTTTTCTTGTTTTGCTTATGCACTATTAATCCTCATCAATGCAAGCTTAATTTGTGAGGGTTTTCTCTCCTTTATCCATTTTCTAAATATTTAGAATAGATGCTGGGCAGTTCTTAGTTGAAGGAGTTCAGATTAATGTAAATAATGTACAACAAAATTCCAGTTGATGTTGAGCTGTATTGATTTGTGTTATGTTCATTGTAGTGCTTTGCTATTGAATTCAGTGATGTCAGCATTCAGAGCCGAGTTTATTGCTGCAAGATCTATGGACTTCATTGGCATGATTAAAGAGTGTGATGAATCTGGATTCCCAAAGGTAAGTTTTTGTATTTAATTAGTAACAATTCCTGTTTGTTGTCTGACAGAGTTATTTATATACTTAGTTGACTCTAATTTGCATATAATCTAAATATAATTTAATTTTA